AGAAGAGCCAGAGAGCTCCTGCGAGACGGAGCTCAGACCTGACCCCCGTTAGGTGGGACCTCATGGGACCCTGACGCTGGAGTGCCACCCGATTGGCAAGTCCACAGAGGGTCAGCGTTGCTCCAGTTCCTCCATCCCTGGCCCACTGCAGAGCACAGGGTGAATCACTTTAAGATCTGTGGATCTTAAATTCTTCATAGTAAAGCACAGATTTTGGTCAGCGGTCAGGGTTTTTTAGGAATGTGGCCTGTTAAAATGCTGACTTGAGGGCCCAGAATCTCAGTGAATTTCAATTCTCAGGACCTGAGCCTACAAACCTGCATTAAGTTTTCTATGCCAGCATTTTACTTGCCATAATACCTATTAACTCTTAAATGACATTGGGAACTCCTCCAATGTAGGCACCAGGCTTCCATGTCTTTGTACCCCGATATCCAGGATGTTTAGGTGCTCACGAGATCCTCGCCGATTTGACCAGTTGCTGTCTTGTCTTCGTTTAGGGGGAGACAGGAGAATGGCAGGGTGGGAGGGACTTTCCATTTCTTTTTGATTCTCTTCCATGAACATACAGGGACACTGTGTTAGGAGGACACCACACCGACAAGGGAGCGGGAGGGGGGTCTGAGGATGGGGAGTGCGGGTGACGGGGGAGACACGGCTTCTCCCTGCCTGGTTCCCTGGAGGAGCCGCACCTCCCGCTTGGGTCACTTCGGTCCTTAGACAGTCACTCTGCAGCCTGGGCCATGGTCCCACACCTGTAAAACGCAGATACTAATGCCCTGAACCCTCACAGGCGGGCGGTGGGGAAGCAGCCGTACGCAAAGGGTCTGAGAGAGGTAAGCTGCATGATTCTTGGAGAAGGAATGCCTTTATTCATGCCTTCTTCAGTACAGGCTCGCTGAATATTGACTATGCGTAAGCACTTAGCTCTTAGTCAAGGACTAAGAATAGTCCTTTAGCTTGGGGGTCAATCTGGCCAATATATTCTACAATTGTTAAAACAGTCGCAGTTCAGGGCTTTTTTCAATGCAGCCTGAACACGTTCTGCTAAGTGCTAGCACATGTGTTATTCCCACTGGGCCTCACTAGACATCCCGTGAGCAGGTGTCTTACCCTCCTTTTTCAGGGGACACAAGAGGTAAGTTGCCCATGGCCACAGAACTGGAAAAAGGCAAAGCTTGGATCCAGGCCTGGCGCTCTTGACTAATCGCTGGTAGGAGACGCTGCTGCGGCGCCATGTAGTTACCCAGAGTCAGGGGTGGGCATTGCTGGGCGCCACAGATGACTCTCTTCGTTGGGAGCATCCTTTGAGAAATCAGCACCTCTTCTTCAGTGATGAGGTGGCTGCAGAAGTGGACGTGGAGGGCACTGATCCAGCCCACCGTAGGCTCCCCTTCATGCTCGGTGCCCAGGCGTGCCCAGTGCCGCTGGCGCTCAGCTCGTGGCCTGCCCCTGGGCAGACTCCCCAGCGACTGCGGACCGTGCCAGGCCAGGAGCCCTGCCCAGAGCACTCACGAGTATTCTCAAATACAGTTATTTTCAGATTTATCACTGGCATCTAGAATGCTTTCAGACAGCAGTGACTAGAGGATGTTATTCTGCTTTACAAGACAACATGAGTCCCTGCCCAAGGGCTGCTTTCAGATCCAAGGGGTGCTTCCCTGGCACTCGCCACACTGCTCTGAAGGCAGGAGACCAGGGAGAACACGATTCTTGGCAGTTCACGTCCGGACGAGACCTCAGATTCCTCAGAAAACTCTTCTGCAAGGAAGGGTCCACCCCAGGAAGTGAGTCCTTAATGAAAAAAGGCTCCTTAGAAGAATGGCCACTGATTTCTAAGAAATGGCAAACTTGATTCGATTTGGATCCCATCCAAGGATAGCTTAAGACCTGAAGGAGTAAAACCAAGTCAACATTAGGAGGATAAATATTCAAGCCACCCCTGGATCCCAGAGTGAATGGAGATGAGGTCGGATTGGCACACCGTCTACCTGAGACTTGGCAGGCGGCACACGGACTGGCATTTGCTGCCAGGCTTTCTCCTGAGCGGAAGAAAAAGATCCAGTGCTTGGGAGGCACTGAGTTGATGGAAAGCCTCAAGATACGTCAATTAGTAAAACGGAAGTCTATTTTTAAATTCAGCTGTCTTCACTAATATTGCTAAGCGTGCCCGAAGGGCATGGCATCCATGTCCGCGGCTATTTTTCTTCCCCTTGCCATGCTGTCAGAACGCAGCTACTGGGTGAAGGCAGAATCACTACAACAAGGGGCAGTTTTGGAAGCAAATCTTTTCCCTTTGAAGGCAAACGCGGCAGGCCAGGGAAGCTGAGGATTACTATACGCAGGAACAATACGTTTTGCAAGTACATCCATCAGTAAAATAAGCTATTAGATCAAAGCTAATTTTTATACTGGAGGCTTACAAATACCAAATCCCTGGGAAATTGTCCCGGAAATTTAAATCACTCAAGGTCTCTAAGTTGTTTTCTGTTTTAAATTAATCTAATTTCATTGCAATCAGCAGAATCAATTTTTCCTTCGTGAGCACATTGCTCGTTACTTAGGAAGTTCCTGCTGGCTTTTCCATGCGTGGCATTCTCAGTTCCTAAAGGTAACTGCGATTACGCACGGAGAATGACATTCTTGTATGAATTAGTAATTTCTTTGTCCCACTCACTGCTGAATGGATGGATGAAATAAATGTCTGTCCACCAGAATGATCTTAAGGATGTGGATGGCTCTAAGGGGTTATCCGCACACACACACAGCCTGCCCCTCCCATCCCTTCAGATTTAAGGATGACTTAACATTTTGATGGACAAAGACATTTTCAAGGTACATTTTCAATATATGCTGTGTTGCTCTTTTAAGTCTTTTCTCTATAAAGGCAGAGTAGGAATACATTCTAGGGGAATGTCAGACAGGTTCTTTTCTCCTGGTCAGGGAGAAACGAAGTCTGTTCTTAGGGCCAGGGGGACGGGAGGCCCACTCAGGGCCTGGAGAGACAGGAGGGGGTGGGCCCAGCACAAGGGCTGGGGGCTCAGCAGAGGTTTGTGCTATTTTAGGAGCAGATATCCGCACTTTGGAAATGTTTGTTTTTCCACAAATACTCTACCCTTCCAGAATATTTAATATGCTTCCTTCTGAAATGTAAGCTCAACTCAGCCATAGAGAGAACCTGGCTCTAGGATGAAACTCAGAGGACAGCACACGTTCCTCCAGGCCTGGAACCCCATAATGGGGTGAAACGGAGGAGAAATAAGACTCGTCCTTTGAATGAATCCTAAACTAGCCTTAGCCACACCTTGATTGATTTCCAATAGTTCTACCAGTTCCCATTGACCTCGAAGGTAGCATACACTTGTTTTAATCCTCGGTGATCCTTCTCCCCTTTGAAACCCCATTTGGAACAAGACTGCCTGCTGCACTCGGCTGTGATGGTCCCGGCATCTGAGGTGGAGAGAAGGCGTGTGCGCTGCTTTGCGCTTTACTCAGCGTTGTTTTGTCCCAACCTGAAATAACGCTCACTTAGGAAGTTCACGGGTGTTACAAGAAAGATGGGAGATTTGGTGGATTAAAGCACATCTATTGCAATCTCTGTCTGAAATTTTTTTCCTACTTGTTAAAATAGTGCCGTCATAAACCTTTTCCACAGATTATGCCAGCTGCTACAAATTTCCTTTATGTTCTCAGACGAGACTGCAGGAAATGGTATGGTTCTCTGAACTCTGCACAAAATAACTCTAGTAAGAAAACCCCTGCAATGGTACCATCGTCTCCCCATCATTTCCTATGAGTGGGTTAAAAACTTCACCAAATGTTCCATGTATAAAAATTACAGTCAGTGCTTGTGAAACCTGCGGAGTGCAAGTGTGGTTTTGCTTTTGCTGCTTGAAATACAAAAGACAATGATCCTGAGGACGCAGAGCAGAGCCATCTGGGTAACCAGCAGGTTGGGTCGGCCGAGTTAGATGATCCTGGATGGTTCTAGTTCCCTCTGGACCCTGGAGGCTCACAGGCTGGGCCTGTGACTGAGAAGCACCATGCTGAGCACCCGTCCACATCCCCACCCCCAGCCACGCTCCTTCTCCCCTTCATGAAGGTTCCTCGTGCATCAGCCGCATTATTCCCACTGTATAGCCTCGGCAGCCTGTGAGCCCAGCACCGTGTGGGGCTGGGCTGCTCACCTGCCGCCTCCCGACCACCCAGCACCAACACGGGTTCAGACGCCCTCCGGCACCCGCACGCCACGCCTGCTCCTGTCCAGGACCGGACAAACTCCAGTGGGATGAACACTCACACATGGTCGTTTGGGTATAAGGTGTGGGCTTTTTTTCTCTTTTTTAATGATACTTCATAAGCCTTAAAAAGTATTCTCTCCAGATTACAAAAGGTTAGTTAAAACTGTTTAATAGGAACAATCTTGGACAAGCAGAAATAGCTTTGATTTGGAGAATTATAGCAACATACACCTGGGAAGGACCCCACAGGGACAGTCAGGTGGGACGGCCTGTGCCTCTTCTAGAGACTGCATTAAAAAGATGACAGATGGGCATTCTGCCCTCTTGCAAGGCACACACCACTTCTGAAAACTGCCAGCTTTCCACAAAGGCTGAAAGATTTCATTTACATTAAAAAATAGCTTTTCTTCTTCAGTGTAGTGGAAATGCCCAGAGACAAGTCAGTGAACTCCCTCCCTAACACAGGTGCAGAACAGCTTTATTGATCTCGGGGTTTGTCCAGTCATTCCGAATGTCATCCAGGTGGTCATCGAAGTCCACCAGCGTCTCGTAGGACCGGCCATCCAGGAGCGACGCCGAGATCCTCTGGGCCTCTGGCCAGTCTTCACAGTGGTCACTACGAGGTGAACAGGAGAAGGTAACCTCTTAACAGAAAGAGAACAGAAACCAGCCACAGGGGAGTGATATAAAGGAAGACAATAACAGACGCTAGCAAACATGTATATTTTTAACACATACAGAACATAAAACAGGAAAGACACCTCCAAATGAAGTTCTGAAAAATCTGGAGGTAGATGACATGCTTTCTGATGATTACAAATAAACCCACGCACACCAAACACCCGGAGAGAGGGTCTGCCCTGGGGAGAGGTGCCCTGGAGTCGGGCACCGCTGGAGCCCGGGGGCTCAGCCCTCCAAAGCCGAGGAACACGCACGCTTCTGTGGGAGGTTTGTACACCGCTCCAGAGAATACGCTCATTTAAAACACAGGAGGCTGGGTCAGCCCCCAGCATATGGGGCACGTGGTCCACCCCGCGAACACAGTACTCACTGGTGTGGGTCTCTGCACCGCCATTTGTTTTCATGGTGTTCGTACACATGGATTGTAGGTACCACGCAGTCCTCCACATCCCCACCCCCAGCCACGCTCCTTCTCCCCTTCATGAAGGTTCCTCGTGCATCAGCCGCATTATTCCCACTGTATAGCCTCGGCAGCCTGTGAGCCCAGCACCGTGTGGGGCTGGGCTGCTCACCTGCCGCCTCCCGACCACCCAGCACCAACACGGGTTCAGACGCCCTCCGGCACCCGCACGCCACGCCTGCTCCTGTCCAGGACCGGACAAACTCCAGTGGGATGAACACTCACACATGGTCGTTTGGGTATAAGGTGTGGGCTTTTTTTCTCTTTTTTAATGATACTTCATAAGCCTTAAAAAGTATTCTCTCCAGATTACAAAAGGTTAGTTAAAACTGTTTAATAGGAACAATCTTGGACAAGCAGAAATAGCTTTGATTTGGAGAATTATAGCAACATACACCTGGGAAGGACCCCACAGGGACAGTCAGGTGGGACGGCCTGTGCCTCTTCTAGAGACTGCATTAAAAAGATGACAGATGGGCATTCTGCCCTCTTGCAAGGCACACACCACTTCTGAAAACTGCCAGCTTTCCACAAAGGCTGAAAGATTTCATTTACATTAAAAAATAGCTTTTCTTCTTCAGTGTAGTGGAAATGCCCAGAGACAAGTCAGTGAACTCCCTCCCTAACACAGGTGCAGAACAGCTTTATTGATCTCGGGGTTTGTCCAGTCATTCCGAATGTCATCCAGGTGGTCATCGAAGTCCACCAGCGTCTCGTAGGACCGGCCATCCAGGAGCGACGCCGAGATCCTCTGGGCCTCTGGCCAGTCTTCACAGTGGTCACTACGAGGTGAACAGGAGAAGGTAACCTCTTAACAGAAAGAGAACAGAAACCAGCCACAGGGGAGTGATATAAAGGAAGACAATAACAGACGCTAGCAAACATGTATATTTTTAACACATACAGAACATAAAACAGGAAAGACACCTCCAAATGAAGTTCTGAAAAATCTGGAGGTAGATGACATGCTTTCTGATGATTACAAATAAACCCACGCACACCAAACACCCGGAGAGAGGGTCTGCCCTGGGGAGAGGTGCCCTGGAGTCGGGCACCGCTGGAGCCCGGGGGCTCAGCCCTCCAAAGCCGAGGAACACGCACGCTTCTGTGGGAGGTTTGTACACCGCTCTGGAGAATACGCTCATTTAAAACACAGGAGGCTGGGTCAGCCCCCAGCATATGGGGCACGTGGTCCACCCCGCGAACACAGTACTCACTGGTGTGGGTCTCTGCACCGCCATTTGTTTTCATGGTGTTCGTACACATGGATTGTAGGTACCACGCAGTCCATTGTAAACTTAGTGTTGTCTACCTGCGCACAAGACAAGAACACACTCATGAACAGGTAACAGGAGCCGACAGCCAGCACCTTTCTGGAGTCCTCAAGCACCTCCTTGGGGCCCTCCCAGCAGTGTGAACACTGGCCCCCAGCCGAGATGACAGACTCCACCTCATGGAGTGCTGACACTGCGCATCTGCCTGGATCGCACCATGAGTATGGCCTGCAAAAAGCCTTGGTATGCAGGATAAATACTAAGCACTGTATTGTTTCTCCAGCAAAGTGAGGCTTTAACATGTTACCTCCTCCCTCCCTACAGGCTGTGCCGGCTATTCTAATTCAGTGGTTCTTACACATGAGTGTGCATCAGAATCATCTGGAAGCTTCTTAGAACAGACTGCATCTGAACCAGGTCCCGGGTGGTGCCGGTACCGCCAGTAGACACCCCACTCTGAGCATGGCCCATCTCCAGGACTCCCCCTTCTGGAGGCCTGTGGGCAGTGGCCGCACAGCACTCACACGCCTGTGATTCAGCACCTTTGTGACGACAGGTGCTATGCAGGGGAGACTGCAAAGGGCGACGGTGGCCTGAGGAAGTATCTGCATAAAGGAAGGCTGCCTATTCGACGGGCCCCATGGCCGAAGGGAACATGCAGGAGCCAATCTGCGACAGAAAGCACGATAGGCTCAAGTGGACTCACCATGACGAGGGCCGCATCGCCGAATCCCTCGGCGATTCTTGAGGCCACCTTTTCTGCAACCTGGGTTGGACTGCAAAAGACGACCAGTGAGCTTACCATGTTCCAGTTTATGTCACTCAATGCTACCTGAGGCATAGTTAAGAGCAAAGATAAGTGCCAATAAACTGCACGTGCATGTTATGCCTGTTTAAAGTGGCTTTTTGGCAACTGGTCCCATTGCAAACACCGCAGCTGACAGGGAAGGCTGTAATGGCAACAGAGCAGGTTCCTGCCTTACTGCCCCAGGAAGCCCTTGTGCAGGGGATCGAGAGGCACCTTATGAACACAAAGGTTGCCTGGAAGCCAGTGGAGTGCGCCCCGAGGCCTGGAGATGGACTGCTGAGCCGGCCAGTGCAGAACTTCAGACTGGAAGCCCGTGGGTGAGCGCCTCCACTGGGCTCTCAGCAACTGCCCACTTCTTAGCTGCTGCAATTGAGTCACTTTGCTTTTTTTTTTGGTATCATTAATATACAGTTACATGAGGTTATTAGATTCCCTCCATTATCAAGTCCCCACCACACACCCCATTACAGTCACTGTCTGTCAGCGTAGTAAGATGCTATAGTCACTACTTATCTTCTTTGTGTTGTACAGCCTTTCCTGTGCCCCCTTTTTCCCTTCTCCCTCCCTTCCCTCCCATCCTTCTCAGTCCATTTCCCTTTGGTAACTGTTAGTCCATTCTTGGGTTCTGTGATTCTGCTGCTGTTTTGTTCCTTCAGTTTTTGCTTTGTTCTTATACTTGACAAATGAGTGAAATCATTTGGTACTTGTCTTTCTCCGCCTGGCTTATTTCACTGAGCATAATACCCTCTAGCTCCACCCATGTTGTTGCAAACGGTGGGATTGGTTTTCTTCTTATGGTTGAATAATATTCCACTGTGTATATGTACCACCTCTTCTTTATCCATTCATCTACTGATGGACATTTAGGTTGCTTCCATTTCTTGGCTATTGTAAATAGTGCTGCGATAAACATAGGGGTGCATCTGTCTTTTTCAAACTGGGCTGCTGCATTCTTAGGGTAAATTCCTAGGAGTGGAATTCCTGGGTCAAATGGTATTTCTATTTTGAGTTTTTTGAGGAACCTCCATACTGCTTTCCACAATGGTGGTAATATTTTATATTCCCATCAGCAGTGTAGGAGGGTTCCCTTTTTTCCACATCTTTGCCAACATTTGTTGTTTGTCTTTTGGATGGTGGCCATCCTAACTGGTGTGAGGTGATATCTCATTATGGTTTTATTTTGCATTTCTCTGATGACAAGCGATGTGGAGCATCTTTTCATGTATCTTGTTGGCCATCTGAATTTCTTCTCTGCCTGTCTGTTCAGATCCTCTGCCTATTTTTTAATTGGATTATTTGCTTTTTGTTTGTTGAGGTGCGTGAGCTCTTTGTATATTTTGGATGTCAACCCTTTATCGGATCTGTCATTTATGAATATATTCTCCCATACTGTAGGATGCCTTTTGGTTTCATTGATGGTGTCCTTTGCTGTACAGAAGCTTTTTAGTTTGATATAGTCCCACTTGTTCATTTTTGCTTTTGTTTCCCTTGCCCGGGGAGATACGTTCATGAAGAAGTTGCTCATGTTTATGTCCATTTCTTCTAGGTTATCCAGTTTAGACAATGATCCAGTTTCATTCTCCTACATGTAGCTGTCCAGTTTTGCCAACACTAGCTGTTGAAGAGGCTGTCATTTCCCCACTGTATATCCATGGCTCCTTTATCATATATTAATTGACCATATATGTTTGGGTTAGTATCTGGACTCTGTATATTCTGTTCCACTGGTCTGTGGGTCTGTTCCTGTGCCAGTACTAAATTGTCTTAATTACTGTGGCTTTGTAGTAGAGCTTGAAGTTGGGAAGTGAGATCCCCTGCTTTTTTCTTCCTTCTCAGGATTGCTTTGGCTATTCGGGGTCTTTTGAGGTTCCATATGAATTTTAGAAGTATTTGTTCCAGTTGGTTGAGGAATGCTGTTGGTATTTTGATAGGGATTGCACTGAATCTTTAGATTGCTTTGGGCAGGATGGCCATTTTGACAATATTAATTCTTCCTGCCCAAGAGCATGGGATGAGTTTCCATTTGTTAGTGTCTTCTTTTAATTTCTCTGGAGTGTCTTGTAGTTTTCAGGGTATAGGTCTTTCATTTCCTTGGTTAGGTTTATTCCTAGATTTTTTATTCTTTTTGTTGCAATTGTAAATGGAATTGTTTTCCTGATTTGTTTCTGTTCGTTCATTGTTAGTGGATAGGAAAGCAAGAGATTTCTGTATATTAATTTTGTATCCTGCAACTTTGCTGAATTCAGATATTAGTTCTAGTAGTTTTAGAGTGGATTCTTTAGGGTTTTTTATTATGCACAATATCATGTCATCTGCAAACAGTGACAGTGTGACCTCTTCCTTACCGATCTGGATTCCTTGTATTTCTTTGTTTTGTCTAATTGCTGTGGCTAGGACCTCCAGAACTATGTTGAATAACAGTGGGGAGAGTGGTCATCCCTGTCTTGTTCCTGATCTTAGAGAAAAAGCTTTCAGCTTCTCGCTGTTAAGCGTGATGTTGGCTATGGGTTTTTGTCATATATGGCCTTTATTATGTTGGGGTACTTGCCCTCTATACCCATTTTGTTGAGAGTTTTTATCATGAATGGATGTTGAATTTTGTTGAATGATTTTTCAGCATCTATGGAAATGATCAAGTGGTTTTTGTCCTTCTGTTTGATGTGGTGGATGATGTTGATGGATTTTCAAATGTTGTACCATCCATGCATCCCTGGGATGAATACCATTGGATCATGGTATATGAGCCTCTTGATGTATTTTTGAATTTGGTTTGCTAATATTTTGTTGAATATTTTTGCATCTATGTTCATCAGGGATATTGGTCTGTAGTTTTTTTTTGTGGTGTCTTTGCCTGGTTTTGGTATTAGAGTGATGCTGGCTTCGTAGAATGAGTTTGGAAGTATTCCCTCCTCTTCTATTTTTTGGAAAACTTTAAGGAGAATGGGTATTATGTCTTCTCTAAATGTCTGATAAAATTCAGTGGTGAATCCATCTGGTCTGGGAGTTTTGTTCTTGGATAGTTTTTTGATTACAAATTCAATTTCATTGCTGGTAATTGGTCTGTTTAGATTTTCTGTTTCTTCCTTGATCAGTCTTGGAAGGTTATATTTTTCTAGAAAGTTGTCCATTTCTTCTAGGTTATCCAGTTTGTTAGCATACAGATTTTCATAGTATTCTTTAATAATTCTTTGTATTTCTGTGGTGTCCACTGTGAATTTTCCTTTCTCATTTCTGATTCTGTTTATGTGTGTAGATTCTCTTTTTTTCTTAATAAGTCTGGCTGGGGGTTTATCTATTGTTTATTTTCTCAGAGAACCAGCTCTTGGTTTTATTAATTGCGAGTCGCTTTGCATTTCAATAAAATTTTAAAATTCCAAATCCTCTCCCAGCTCGTCAGCCTTCAACTGCTGGCTCTGGCCCTGCCCATCCCAGCCTTTCTGCCTTCAAAGAAGCTAACCACCGGATGGCTCCATCATCCCTGCACACAATTATTTTCTACCCATCTGAGCAAGAGGTCTCCTCCCGGGGCCCTTATTATATCCTCTCTCCCCCAGTGGGCCCAGCTCTGCGGCCAAATCTGAACAAGTCTTTTCTTTTTCAGGAAAAAGAAAAAAAAGAAGTGCTTGGCTGGCTCCCTCAAGCCATTGTCCAGCGTCTCTCCTCCCTTTCAAGGACGTTTCTTGAACCTCTTGAGTTGATAATCGGGTCCCTTTGCTCCATTTCCTCACCGCAGCTGTGCAGTCTGACACCCACCCCTCACCCCAAGGGTCGGCACCCTGGAAGGCTCCCAGCCGCCTGCTGGCACGTGCGCATCCAGGTGGCCGGCCTGCTTTCGCGCTACCCTGGCTGAGGGGGCCTTTCCTACTCTTCTTCAAACAGCAACGGCAACGGCAACGGCAAGTTCCTTCTCCTCACCCACCATTTTGCTCAGGCTGCCGCCGCAGGCCTGCATTTCTAAAATTGCTTCCAACTGGTCTCGGTTTCTAGGTTTCTCATGTATTTTGCAAACTCTCCTTAAATCATTTTTATTAAAAGGAAACTTCTACCGTGTCCCCCTGCCTGTGAGATAAAAGACCACTGTCCTCAGCCTGGCAGCCCGGGCCTGTCGCGGCGTGGACAAGCTACTGTTCCTGCTCCTGGGTGCGCTGCTTTCTCTTTGGTTTCAGAAAAACCATCTATGCACAGTGCCCCCTCCCCACTGGTTCCCGTTTGGAGTGCCTTCCTGCCTGTAATGCCCAGAAAACGCCATGGTCTCTGGGAGGGCCTGCCAGATAGCCTC